ATGGTCGGCGTTGAATGACAGAAGTGATATTGCACCAATTACAAAGAATCACGAATTTCACACAGCAGTATGGGACACCATTAAAGGGGAAGCTACATGACAGTAGATTACGGACTTGCGAAGCAACAAAACAAGTGGGTATACCGAGGGTATACGCGAATATTGATCCTTAGAAGTCGTAATACGCAAACATCCCGGAGAAAAAAGTAAGCATACGGCGTATACTTGCGTATGGCCCCGACTACACCACCGGACGCTACGTGAACCTTTTCATATAAACTGGAATAAATACAAAACTAGAGCCAAACTAAAACTGAAATGAGACATTAATTATAAATAGTATAGTGAATAAATGAAACAACCATGACTAAAAGACATATGAAAGCACGTATTTCTGTACATTTTTAAATAAGGTGCATTAAAAGTCAATAAATCATTGATTAATATGAATATTTTAATTAAAAACGTGTCTCCACGTACTACGTGAGTACACTAAGAAATAAAGCAAAAACATGTAACTTTGGTGCACTCACAGACGAATTTATCAGAGACAGACTGGTGTGTGGCATAGACAATGATAGCGTGAGAAGAGTGTTGCTCAGAGAAAGTGATTAACTCTTGCAAAAGCGATTAAAATATGCCAAATCAGTGAATTAATCGAGCTGCATACGAAGGTCCTAGCTGTACCACGCAGCGGGCCTACGAGCGTTGATGCAGTACACTACAACACAAAGGGGAGAAAAGCCGTCGTGCATCGGCAGCAACCGCAACAAAAATACCGGAGTACAAAGAACATTGTTAACTGCAAAAATTGTGGTGGAATTTATGCTAACCATCCAGCAAAGCGTGATCATTGCAAGGCTTTCGGACAACAATGTCACCATTGTAAAAAGTTTAATCATTTCAAGTCCCAGTGCAGATCTGCATCAAAAGGCAATTTCAAATCCATCAATCAGATCACTGATGCAAACACGGACAGCAGCGAGGAGTCATTTCATATCGACGGGCTGTGTCTTCTTGGTGCCAGTGAAATTGATGCAGTCAATCACCACAGTGCGATTAACAAGCAAGAAATACATTGCAGCATGACAGTAAATGGCAAGCCCCTTGAGCTTAAAATTGACACAGGAGCAAAGTGCAATGTCATTTCAACTGAAACCTTCGAAGCAGTGAGAAAAGACGAGAAAATCCAAGAGAAATCAAAAGCAACGTTAGTGGCTTATGGAGGCACCGTGATTGAAACAAAAGGAACAGTGATGCTGCAATGTTTGACGAGCAAATGAAAATCGTACCTGTTGCAGTTTCATGTGGTTAATAAAAATGTCAAATCATTGCTGGGCCTGCCAGACTGTTTAAAAATGAACTTGATATCTCTCAAAGAAGAAATACATGGAATTGATCTCAATAAAAATTAAAACCTGTCACAAGAAATATTCACAGAGTATGCTGACCTATTTGACGATGATCTAGGCACCCTTCCTGTGACATATTCAATGAAGATAAACCCAGACATCACTCCAGTGGTCCGGCCACCTCGCCGAATACCTGTGGCAATGTGTGACAAAGTAGAAGCCGAACTAAAAAACATGACAAAACTAGGAGTCATAACACCCATTTCAGAGCCCAAAGAGTGGGTGTCCTCAATGGTCGCCACGCATAAGTAAAACACTGACAAGATCCGCTTATGCATTGATCCAAGGGATCTGAATGAAGCCCTTATGCGCCCTCACCATCCTATGTGCACAGTAGAAGAGGTAGCTTCACAAATGTCCAATGCCAGTATCTTCTCAGTGCTTGATGCAAAAAGCTCATTCTGGCAAATCAATCTTCCCTACGCACCACTTTTGCGACACAAATACATTGCAGCATGACAGTAAATGGTAAGCCCCTTGAGCTTAAAATTGACACAGGAGCAAAGTGCAATGTCATTTCAACTGAAACCTTCGAAGCAGTGAGAAAAGACGAGAAAATCCAAGAGAAATCAAAAGCAACGTTAGTGGCTTATGGAGGCACCGTGATTGAAACAAAAGGAACAGTGATGCTGCAATGTTTGACGAGCAAATGAAAATCGTACCTGTTGCAGTTTCATGTGGTTAATAAAAATGTCAAATCATTGCTGGGCCTGCCAGACTGTTTAAAAATGAACTTGATATCTCTCAAAGAAGAAATACATGGAATTGATCTCAATAAAAATTAAAACCTGTCACAAGAAATATTCACAGAGTATGCTGACCTATTTGACGATGATCTAGGCACCCTTCCTGTGACATATTCAATGAAGATAAACCCAGACATCACTCCAGTGGTCCGGCCACCTCGCCGAATACCTGTGGCAATGCGTGACAAAGTAGAAGCCGAACTAAAAAACATGACAAAACTAGGAGTCATAATACCCATTTCAGAGCCCACAGAGTGGGTGTCCTCAATGGTCGCCACGCATAAGAAAAAGACTGACAAGATCCGCTTATGCATCGATCCACGGGATCTGAATGAAGCCCTTATGCGCCCTCACCATCCTATGTGCACAGTAGAAGAGGTAGCTTCACAAATGTCCAATGCCAGCATCTTCTCAGTGCTTGATGCTAAAAGCTCATTCTGGCAAATCAAGCTAGACTATGAATCTTCCCTACGCACCACTTTTGCGACACCTTTTGCCAGATATCGTTTTATGCGCATGCCTTTTGGCATTAATTCAGCATCAGAGGTGTTCCAACGGGCAATGGAGCAGATCTTCACAGGTTTTCCATGTGCCATAATCGTAGATTATATTATTGTTGGAGGAAAAGGTGAGAAGGAGCATGATGAGAACTTAAGGAAGGTTCTAAACAGAGCACGGCAAGTGAATCTGAAATTAAACCATGAAAAATGCAAGTTCAGGCTCAAAGAAGTTAGTTATGTGGGCCATCTGTTCACAGAACATGGATTAAAATCAGACCCAGCCAAGATAAAGGCCATAACAGAGATGCCACCGCCAAATGACAAAGCTGCTTTGCAACGTTTCTTGGGCATGGCTAACTACCTCGGCAAATTCATCCCAAATTTCAGTGAGCTGACAGCACCACTTCGACAGCTGCTCCACAGGGACGTAGTTTGGTGCTGGTCACAGCAACAACAGAAAGCATTTGACATGCTAATAAAGTGCATCACATTCCCACCAGTGCTGAAGTACTTTGATGTAAGCAAACCTGTGACCATCACGTGTGATGCTTCTCAATATGGACTGGGCGCTGCATGCCTACAGAACGATCAGCCTATCAGCTATGCCTCACACACTCTCACTGAATCAGAGATGATGCTCAAATCGAAAAGGAGCTATTGGCAGTGGTCTTCGCTTGTCAGAAGTTTTATGACTACATCTATGGGAAACCGATCTTGGTAGAAACAGACCATCAGCCCCTTGTTACAATTCTGAACAAACCTCTACACACTGCTCCAGCACGACTTCAGCGAATGATACTGA